GTCTAACTGGGAAGCAAAGCATACAGTATGAAACCGAGTGCTTTTGGTGTGTGTTTGCTACAAATTCAAATGAGATAAATGTCAAGTCAGCAAGTATGACTGAAGCGTGCATCAAACAAAGGATTAGGGAACCTTGGCTGGCTCTACCCAGTTCCATCTGCTTTTCTAGAAAAATTGAAAACTTCGGTGATTGGATTGCAAAGTTTGAGACTGCTTTTTGTTCTTGCTTTTTTGTTTTCCATATCCAATGATTTTTCTTCCCCTTTCATCAGCCTCGATTTGTTGCTGTTTTGGAGTTTTGATAGCCCAGCAAATATGACAACCTTCTGAAAATGTGTCTGTTTCAGGTGGGAATGCTTTAACTCTTCTGTGAAGTAAGTTGTTCTGTATTTCTTTGCAACAGATTGGAATAGTTGGAAGAACGGGAGCTGGAAAATCCTCGCTTACTTTAGGTTTGTTTCGGATTAATGAAGCAGCTGAAGGAGAAATTATTATTGATGGAGTTAATATTGCAAAGATAGGGCTCCATGACTTGCGGTTCAAGATCACCATCATCCCTCAGGTAGGTGTGAAATCTTGCCATTGCCAGAACTCATTCTGTCACAGTGCTGTTGCTGTAATATACTGGGGACAATCTTCCTTTTCTGATTTACAGCTATGAAATTGAGTCATTTCAGCATGCTCTTTTCATGGAACTTGAAACCAAGCTTTTTTCCTAGACTGGCTTCCATGTCTTGTGCTTGTAATAACTGGGACCTTGGCTATGGCTGGGTTGCGATGTGGAAGCAACACCTTGGCCTTTGAACTCATGGGCTTTGTCAGAATCCCATACTAATCAGTTGAGTACTACAGACAGCTTTTATTGACTGGGCAGGTCTGATCCCAGCTGAACACCTGATGGGTGTCACTTGGTTAACTGAGACCATTGCTTTTTTGTCCATTAGAGGGGAAGTCCAAGTATTTTCAGCTGGGGAGAGCCCTCGGGAGTTTTTTTAGAGATCAGTTTCCACTTTTATTTTAGGTAGTTCCATTCTTTTTAGAAACAGAATGAAGGTACGGCGTAGTCTAATCTGTGAGGGATTGGGATTATGCATTGAGATTTCAGGTTTGATATGCACTCTTTGGGCCTTTGTACAAAGAATTCTGACTTTGGAAGGATCTTGTGAGTGAGGTGTGCAGTGCTGTTCACTCACAGAAACTTGTACGTAACCATTCCAATCTAGCCCAGCAGATATGGGTTTGATAGTCTAAAACATTTGGAAATAGAGTTTTACAAGTATGGGGCTTAGTCTTAAGTCTTCTTGTTCTTACTGTGTGGCCTTTATTGCCTGCCTGTTCTGATTCACAGTAAGATCATAAAATGTTGTTACATAAATCACCATTGCAGCACGCTGGCAAAAACAAGTGAGCACACTGCAGAAGGTTTTCTGCACCGCTTCGTTTGGAAATCTATGGAGAACTTTTCTTTCTCCTTTTGATCATTTTGAATCCGTCTGACTCTACTAAGTCAAAAGTATTTCCAAAGTAGTATTTCTCCATGTCCAGCAAAAACAGCATTCATTCCATTAATACTGCAGCTGAAGCTTTCTGAAATATCCACAAATGATGTAATTCACTAAGAAGTGGGAAGCTGACCTAGGAGTCCCCACTAATAGAAGGTTGAGGAGGAAGTAGCTGCTCTTCAACTAAGCAGCCCAGTAAAAAGAAAATCGGCTGTTTTTGTTTTCTGTGGGGGTTTTTTGTTGTTTGTTTGTTTGCATTCTTTGATTGTTGGTCAGCTTTTCCCCCCTGGATTCATGAGTTACCGACTCATGGAAAGGTCTGGAGCGCCAGAGTATGCAGAGGGGCAGAGGTCAGGCCCCAAAGAGGCATGAGGAGTAAGGGTGAGGGAAAAGAGCTTGCTGCTATCAGAAAAAGTGAGGTCTTACTCCTAAATCCAGTAGGGAAGCTTGCTTGCAACTGCATTTGGACGTGTACGTTCTTAATGACCTTTTTCTGTAACTAGGATCCAGTATTGTTTTCTGGCACTCTGCGTATGAATCTTGATCCTTTCGACCAACACTCTGATGAGGACATTTGGAGGTCTTTGGAATTGGCTCACCTGAAAAACTTTGTATCATCCCTTCCTGCTAAACTTAATCATGATTGTGCTGAAGGTGGCGAGAACCTCAGGTATGTCAAAGTACTATGCTTGTGAAATGGCCTTAAGAACTAAATGGCAACGAGACGTGTGTGTGTGTGCCCTTCATCTGCAACTAGACTCTCCATTTCCAGAAACTACAGCTCACTTGGGACGGTATGTTGGTAACTAGCAGCAGGAATGCAGTGTGGGCTGCCCTGTGTAAGATTTGTGGAGGGAATAGTGGAATTCCTAATCCATGACTAGGCAGTCAACTAACTAGGTTCTGTTCACCATATTTTAAACTCAAGTTTGGGAATTTAAAGGAATTTAAGAAGTACTCAGAATGTTGCAAGGTTTGACAGCTTGGGCAGGCTTGGAAAGGATTTTAGTAGTCTGCTATTTAGAGTGAATGTTCTGAACTTACGATGGCTTTTGTCCAACAGATGCAAGTTTTCTAAGCTGGCATTTTGCTTTTTGTGCAGTAACAGGGATGTATGTTTAGTCAGTAGAAACCATATGAAGTCCAGTCCTCAATACTGCAACAATTCAGTGAATCAGCCTGATGCAGTTATGATAGAACTATTTGTAATGTATTCTTTTATTATTGCCAGAACTTCATTTTGAGGGGGCTGTAGTTTCAGATGCTCTTAGATATTCCACAGTGAAGCAGTAAGACTACCTTATCTATTATGCTGGATTCTTGGCACCTGTATTTAAGAATAAGGAATTGTTAGGCTTCAAAATGAATACTGCAAACTTGTTCTGACTTTCTCCCACCCTCCCATTCCATGTGCGTAGTGTGGGACAGCGCCAGCTGGTTTGCCTGGCACGAGCTCTGCTCAGGAAGTCCAAAATCCTGGTTCTAGATGAAGCCACAGCTGCTGTTGATCTTGAAACAGATAAGCTTATACAGTCAACAATAAAGTCTCAATTTGAAGAATGTACTGTATTAACTATAGCACATCGTCTGAACACAATCATGGACTACACAAGGTAAAGTAATACCACTTTTATCTTGAAGAATGGTATGTGTGAACTGCACTGTGCTCTACTTAAACGGGCATCTTTGTGTTTGCAAAATCTTTGCCAGTGCATTTTTAGCCACCTTTCCAGAGAGCTCCCGGAATCCCTTACTTTGATGGGTGTGGTGTGCATGTTCTGGCTTGTGGTGGCTGTGCTTGGGCTAGGGAGCTCCTCTGAGCCCCCTGTTGCACTGCTGTTGTGCCATTCCTGTCCAGGCAAACTAGGAAGGAGAGGGAAGAGACAACAGGAGTCTGTTCCTGGGTCTTGCCCTAATTTGGGCACAGCTGGAAGACACATCAGAACTTTTGGGAGCTCAGACAGCATAAGGAATCAAAGGAGCAGGCCCTGAGCTTTTCTGAAGTTTATTCCATGTTTCTCTTTCCATCGCTGTTGGTTATAGTTCATACATCTTTCCGCATCCTCAGCTGCCTTGCTAAGGTGCAAGTGCTCCTCAGTTTAAGTGCTCTTATCCTTCTTATCATAGAATGGCAGAGAGCAAAGTGACCAGTGATAAGATTTTAGTGTATTTGTATAGACCAGTCTTTGTGCTGTCAACTGTGAAAGATAAGAGACAGGAACATTGCCTGTTCCAGGCACAGCACCAGCAGTACTGTCACCAGTGAACGCCCAGTTCAGTCACAGTAACACCGTACAGTAGCACCAGCTCAGGCCTTAGCAAGCATCCCTGCAGTGCCTGGCCAATTAGTGAAAGTAGCTGAAGGCAGTGTTTTAACTGAGAGCTGATTTACTGACCGTGGTAACTTGTTTTTTAAGCTTCCCATTTCCAGTTGCATGTTTGTTTAGCACAAGCTATGTCTGTGTTTGTATCTTGTCAGCAGAAGCCGTATAACAGCAGTTGATGTGGCGCAGCATTATGGGAAGGTTATCCCAGGTCTTGCAAGGTCTTGGGGACACTGACTCACCTTGACAAGAAGTGCTTTGAGATAATTTCTGGCAGGCTCAGAGCACAGTCAAAAGTCTCATGGTTGCCTGAAAATGACTGGGTAAACATTTGCTACATATAAAATAGACCAGGCAGGATCAGCATTGAAGCCAGGAAGGATGGAGTTAAGAACCGCTGTCCACTCATACAGTCTGGACTGGTTTAGCCTGCATATGATGGCTGCGCTGCAGTCAGTTTCTCTCTGTACACATACACCTGTGTTCACCGGCCTTGTTGATCTTCTTGTGACCGTATTTGTTTCTTCTTGTTTTGCAGAGTTTTAGTCCTGGACAGAGGAAAAGTGGTGGAGTGTGGTAGCCCAGAACATCTCCTTCAGCAAAAAGGCATTTTCTATAGCATGGCCAAAGATTCAGGATTGGTGTAGCATTTGGACTTGGTTAGTTCCTGTGAGGAAGAGGGAGGCGATACACTCGGAACACAAGTAACTTCCCCTGAGCTGGTGTGAACCACACAGAGCAGTTTCAGACCTAGTGAAGTCAGCCACAGCATGGTGATGGAAGTCATAGGAAAATGCAATTTTCTTTTCTTTTTTTGTTTCCTTCTCCTTAGTACTCATTTTTAGCCGGCTTTAGGAGGTGCACGTGCACTGTGCAAAACACTTCAGAGACCTTTCGTTTTTGCCTGAAATCTGTCAGTGTACGCTGAAACGTCAGGTGGAGTGACTCATCAGAGAAGTGCAGAAAGCTTTCTCTTTTCATCTGCTCTTACGCTCTGAAGTTCTCCTCCCTTTTTTAAGAACCCCAACCCAACAAACCACACCAGTTGTGCAAATGTTAGTGACTTGCTTGTTTGCTGATTCCTCATCTGAGGAGCCGTCTCTTGTGGGATGCACTTGGAACATTTTGTGGCATAGAGTACAATAATCCAAAGATGTTATTTTTTTTCTTGTGAAACTTTCTCATTACGGCATTTACTGTACGTGGTTAATGCTTTTATGCATTGTCCTAAAGGTTTCATGTGTTTACAGTGTATAGCAGCAAGTTCACTATAAAATGTCAGTAGTGCTGATGTGAGAAAGCACAGTCAACTTCAGAGCAGTATTCAAGCATGTCTAGGATGACAATCACTCCAAAACCAAATTCATACAGCAGTCGCTGTGTTGCAGGGTGCAATACCTGATCTTGTGCACACTTCACTCAGGAATTCTGACTTGGGGGGCGAATCCTGATAATGCCTGTGGGGACTAGGCTGAGAAGTGAGGATTTGCCTGAGCAGAGGTTGCGGGCTCGGCGTCACGTTGATTGTAACACCCTTGGCTTTGGCAGCGCTGTGCTTTCATAGAAGCTCTGCCACATCAAGGACCATTAGCCTTATAGCGAAGAAACCTGCCCTTCATGCTGCTGCTGTGGACTCTTCAATTTCGTGAGAAGCTGTTCTGTTACAGGTGTTTAAAACACAAGTTTTCTGTTTTCAGTTGTGTGTCAGAGGGGTCTGACAGTTTAATTGGCAGAGTCTGGGTTTCAAGATCTGTGTGAATGTTCCCTTTTCTGTGGGAGGAAAAAGTTAATTTTCTTATGTTCTGATTAGTCTTATTTTAAAAGGAAAATGCTGGAAGAAGGCAAACTTAAGCCAGATGGAGTCAAATACTCAGCACTCTGAGAAAGTGGACTTCTGTGAATGATATTGCTGACCTTAATACTAGACAATTGTCTTCTTTAGAGTAAATATATTTATTTTTTTGTAAATTAAGACTCTGAGTAGACTGAGATTTTCTTTGGTATTTTTTGTAATGACGATACAAATATTTGCAAAGAAAATGCAGTAAAAAAAATTGTTTGGAAGTTAACATGATGTGTCATCTCTTGCTTTGTGTTTGACAAAGGGTTAGCTTCTGTAGTTCAGGTAATTACTGGTACTGCTTAGACTAGCCAAGCTGCTGGGCCTGATGTCTGGGGGCTGTTAGGGTGGGTAAGAAACCTGGAGTGCAAATGACAGTGTGCTGCGACAGGGCTGGATCACATCTCAGGGATTGTCTTGTAATTTCAGTACTGCAGTTTGTTGGGCAGACCAGGTTATAACAATGCACCAGCAGAGCAGAATTCAGTGGTGCTGCAGACCTTTTGTCATACCCACGGTGTCCATGGCCTGTGCCTTGCCACATTTCTGGGGCAGCTTCTTGTCAGTTTCCCCCATGGAAATGAAATGAGCAAGGGGGTGGTGGAGGAATCTGGGGAGGAGCAGTGGGTTTTGGACTTTCAAATTGCCCAACACTTGTGCAGCATTGTGATGGACAGAAAGGTGGAAAGGTTTGAGCAAACCATAAAGAACAGGTTACAGAGCAGGGAAACGAGCTTGTCAAATACGGTGTGTGGCTGGTATTGCTTTACTCAGCTGCATTAAAATGGAGACATATATCTGCAGAGGAGACCCGGAGGAGGAACTGTGATACCACCATGAGACCTTTCTTGCTTGGGGTCAGTCATCCTCTAGGAACACTGTGAACCTTCCGCTTCCACCCCCTCCTAGGAGAGCTCTGGGAAGGAACAGGGAGAGGGTCCGCTGGCATTGGTCAACAAGACAGCCAGGCTCCCTGTGCTCTCTCCTTGCCTGTCCAAACTAGTTACCACCAACACCACCTTCTAGGCAGAGCTGCGGAGAACTTCCAGTGAAGAAATTCAGACAGGATTCAAATACCTTTGAAAACCTTGTGGGTTTAGTGCAGCTCGTTACTGAGCTGGGGACTCTACAAGTACTCTGCAGGTTTGGCGTTGAATTCAAAGTTCTGTTGCTGGAGTTCCTCTGTGGAAATCGATTCCGGATTCAAGGAAATTATGCTTTCCGTTGCACACAGACAAACAGAGATTTACAAGCATTAACATATGCATGTGAGTAAATCCTTGGAAAACAATGTAACTGCACTTGGAAGCATGGTTTGAAACGGAGCTTGCAGAATGACACTTCTGCTGTGTAAAGTGGAGATGTCTGTGTAGGAATGACTTAAACTGCGCTTGCAGTCTCAAACTGGGTACACTGGAAAGTGTCACTGGATGTTTTCTGTCCTACTCATGGGCTGTTTGCCATCATTTGGGGAACTGCAAATTTTTGTGTCCAAAATGCTGTATTTTGCAGGATAACCTAAATATTGCAGCAAGGGATCAGATGTCTGCTCTTGATGCGTGCCTCAGTCTTGTTCTTGTTCAGTGATGTGGTTGTTAATATGCATCGCTGTGTTCTCCCAGTTTTACGTATTTACACACTTGCTAGCACGAGCTGTTCTGCCCCAGCTCTGGAGTAGGTACTCTTTTCTGTTTGCTCTAAATACCTGTCATTGCTTTGTGTTATTGCTGCATTGATTTATGATCCTGGTTCCAAATGTCTGCCCTCATAAAAATGATTAATACCTTGGCTGGATGTAACATGAACAAAATTGTGTTAATGCATGACCAGGATAGTCCGAACTAACCTTAACTTTACACAGGGGTAGCTGAACAAATGCAGCTTTCTTCCACAGAACCTCTGTGTATGAGCAGTGTCATATAGGTACTTCAGGTCCCTTGAGTGGGAGTGGTATAGTTGTGAGGTCCTGTTTCAGGTAGGAAAGAGAGGGCCATATGCTGATCCCTGCATGCAGGGTTACTGGAACCAACTGCAGAAAATGATACAACTTGCTGCAAGGTAAAGTATTAGAATCTGGGATTAAACCCAGCCTATTTAGTGCTTGGGACACTTTTACCCCTTCTGAGTATGTAAATGCAGCCTGATGGCATGTGACCTCCAGTACTGGAGAACCTGGTGCCCTCCAGCAGGGATCAGTGATATCCCAGCTCGGGGATGAGCCCTCCCTCTTCAGGAGGTGGGGAACACTATTAAATTCGGGAGTGTGACACTGAATTCCAGCAGGTGGGCTCAGAGTTACGTAGCAGACACTTCCTTCAAATGCCTTGATGCTGGAAAGCTAATGCCAGCTCTGAAGGACAGCATGTGAGAGAGGAGTGGGTACCGTCCTGAGTGTGTGTATTGCAGCGAGCAGCTTAGTCCTTGGGAAGGAGGTGAGCTGGGTACCTTCATCCACCTGCTGCAGAGCAGGGTTTCCCTGAAATGTATTGCCCTGGCATGGTCTAAGTTCATCCTGTTCTGGTGCTCTAGGTCCTTGCCTGGTGGAGAGGTAATTATCTGCTCACCAGGAGGATCTTTGTTGCTGGTAGTCTTGTTCTTCTGGAGTGGGTAGGTTCTCAGTTCCATGCTTTTTCTCCCCCAACCTGATTTTTCTCATAAAGATAGCACAATTAATTTCATTTAGATCAGCAGGAAAATAGGAAACCGTATTTAGCTGCATTGGCTATTTATGTGTGTGTTATGAAAAATTTGCCAAATACCTGTCAGGACCGAAAGTAAGTGGCCTCTTGCTCTTACCTGGAGCAAAGCTGTGCCTCTCTCCAGTTCGTTCTGCGCTCTTTGCTCTTTGGACTGTTTCTTCCAGTCTTTGAGAAGATGCTTCTCTTTTAAAGCAAAGTTGTTGCCTTTCTCTTAGAACCGTTTTGTTCCGATCTCTTAATTAAAATATTAAGGGTAAGTGAAACCATTTCGGATCCTGCTGTTTGGTATCTTCTCTTTCAGCAGCAATGTCTGTGCCACTGCAGCCCACGTGAGGCTAGTGGTGGTGTTAATAATAAACAACATTAACATATTTATTATAAGCATATTTATAAAAGAGCAAGAGAAAACTGTTGAATTTACTGTATCAGATTCAGTGCATGTTGATGTATCCTGGCTGCCATTATTTGCTGCAATATGGAAGATACCTCATGTCTGGAAGAGCTGATTCTGCTGTAAAACAGCTCAGGATTTTCAGGAGACCTGTACATAACACCATAGTTAGTCATGTGTGTGATTACAGCTGCTCCTATAAAACTGTCCCCAGTGTGGAGTCATCTGTGAAGATATCCTGTAGTGATTCAACCAGAGTAGCACACAAACGCTTGTGCCCTAGGTCACTGATGCCTTTAACATTTGGGCATTCCTGTGCATCTTGTGACCATCTATGGAACCAGGAGTGCAACTTAACAAACTACATTTGGCATGAACTTCATGTAAATCAATGCATGACACTTTCATTCTTATTTTCCAGCTTTAGCAGTTTCAGTATTACATTAAACTTGGAATCTTGGGGCAAGTATTTTAATGTCATGTTTCTTTCCTACATAAGGCTGTGCTTTTACTTTGTCTGAGATAGCCTTAAATGAGGAGGAAAAAGGAAAGGAAAAAATGAAGTAAATTGGAATTGAAAGCCCTAACTCTTGATGTCCATATTGGACAGACAACTGGAACACTGCTAGTACTAATTAAGCCCTTGACCTCATGGCTCCAAAGAGAAAAATAGAGTGGGAAAGCCACTGAGATGTTAATAAACCCTCTTTAGATTAGTGGGTTTTATTTGGGCTGAGCTAAACACAGCTGCTCTGTGTATGTTGCACTTGTGCTGCACAACAGCTATTAAAAATGAATGCTGCAAATGTGTAGATGGGGCAAGTCCAGGCGCTCTCCTCTTGAGGTCTTCTTGATATTCAGATGGCTGGAGATGTTGGGCAGGCTTTTATTTCTTAATATTAAAATTTATTCAGTGCAACTTATGAAACAGGTTCTTAGCATAGTTCTGAGCCTGCTGTAGTTACCTCCTGTGATAGTTGCAAATTTCAATCAAATAGTCTAAGAAGCACATTTGGAAAGACCCAACAGGCCTGTCCTTTTAAACAGTGCTTTCTGTTCCTTGAACTAGATTTTCAGGAGAGGATAGTATCTCCAAGCATTAACTCCTTTATATATTTTGCTTTAACCAGTTCCAGATAACTTCCTTCTGATGACTATTACTTTTCTTGTGAGACTGGAACTCCCCGTTTGCCACTTACAGTATCACTTGGACATAAAGCTGAGGACTCTGGCTAATCTGAAACATGGGGGTTTTTGTCACATGTAATTTTGGGAATCACAGAATAGTTAGGGTTGGAAAGGACCTTAAGATCATCTAGTTCCCTTTTGCCTTTTCAGCACAGCTTGACGTGTGAAAGCTGATGGTATTTTTGCTGCTCTTACCTTGTGCAAGCCAACAGCAAAACTGCGCCCTTTCTAAGATTACCAGTGTGAAAGAATGTTTTGATTATTTTCCCCTTCTGTTGCCTTCTCTCTTCATTACCAACTTAGGCACGGAAAGCAAGCATTCGGAAGATGTTTATATCAGAGATTATGGTATGCTAAAAGATGTCTGTCTCAGAATTACCCAGCAACATGGTCTTGTCTGTTTCTCTTTGACCTCAGTTAAAAAGAAAAAATATCTAACTTATCTCTACCTCACTACTTCTAGATGCTCCTGGTTTTGAGACAAACTTTTTGAGTGCTCATAACTTGCATTTGTTGTTTGAATTTTTCTTCTGTCTCTGCCCTTGAGTAAGGTTTGGAGAAAGTGATTGCCTCTTTCCTGGTGTTTGAGCAGCAGGATAGCAGCAGGCATTGGACTTTGATATCTTAGGCATTTGTTCAGCAGAAACTGCTAACTGCTCTTAACGTGGGTGAACAGCCTACAAAACAGCTCTTGGGTAAGAAACTGCTAGGTTTTGTTGGTCTGGCTTGACTCTTGCCAGTTTGAACTTTCCCATGCCCTCCCCCATTACTCCTTTTTATACTCTTCATTTACTTTAGCTTATTGAAGAGACCCATTTCAATACTTGATTCCGGTTTTATTTCAACTTTCTAGAAAATTAAGTGCTTTAACAAAAGTCACAGTAACAGCAGTATTTCACAGTGTGATTGATTGTCATGTCTTGTGATTCCTGAGGAGAGACTTGGGGACAGCTCTGACTGCAGCTCCTTGGCACTGCGGGCAGCCCAGGAAGGCTTTACTTTCAGCTGCTGCTTTGGTTTGTTAAAGCAGCATCTGGAAGATGTCCATGACAGAGGCACATGCAGGAGGTAAACTTGCATGCAACAAGAAAAACCAGGAATGAACCACCAGGCTGACAGGAGAGTGAGTCCCTGATACTTTCCCTATCTGCTGGACTGCCACGCTGCAGAGACTGGAGGAGGATGCTTCCCACCACACAAATATTCCTTGTGGCCAAATTCAATCTGGACATGGTGCTGGCATTTGCACATGCACTGCTGTGACCAACCGGCATTTGGCAGTAGGACTTCTCCAAGCCTTCAAGCAGAAGGAATGACACACTGCTCCCCACTCCCAGCCAAGTTACTCTATCCTGCATCAGAGAGCCTGTATCTAAGCTGGCTCTCTTCCTCCAGCAGTCTGTTAGTCCTCTGCACAGCATGATTTACTCAGGGCCCCTCTAAAGCTGACACAGAAAGAGATGGAGCCCATAGGCAGCCGTTCTCTCTCATGCTTGGTGGCATCCCTCTTTCTCTTCTTTACTATCCCCATGCTTGGGTGACCAGATCTAGCTGCTGCCTTGGAGTCCACATCTGTGTAAGAACAGCATTCAGGTGTGCAGTCATTAGGACATTGTCAAAAGACTAAATTTGTTCTGCCTGAAACTCAGGACAAGCTGTAAACAGTTAAGTTTCCCTGCTATCAGTTAAAGTCTTGCTTGCTGTCCATAAAACCTTGTTGGCTTTCAAAAAGAATCTGTGCAATCTTTTAAGTATGGCAGCATAGTTGGACTTCATTTATACTGTAACTGGACATGCTGTAGTCTTTTGTCTTGTTTGCTTTTATACCATAAAAGCAACAAGGTATTATAAGTTCATATTGGCTCACTTGCAACAGAGGAGTAAAGTTTTGGTATCTGGAAATATAATGAAAATGGAATTGCTAAGTTTCCTATGGAAATAACCTCCATCCCAAGTCATCCCTTTTCATCTGCTTACTGCAGTTGTAGCTCAACCAAGATTTGGTTGTGCAGTGTGTTTTAGAGTGAAACCAAAATAACAACTCAATTACGAGATGAATTATTCCTGATATGGGTGGCATTGTGGCATACTCCGTGAGTGAGTCATGCAAAGCCTGATTCTTCCATCAGTTTGTAGAACAGTCCCCTCTGAGCTATTAAGTGTTCCAGAGTATCAAATTCAGCTATCCGACCATTTTCCAAGACTAAAATCCTGTGAACATTAAAACAGAAGTGTAAGCTTGGGGACGTATCAGCAGCTATAATAAACTTCAGTTATTTCCATTGATTTCTAAAATAAATTGCTGTACTTGCTTGTTATTCAACCAAGCTTTTCAGCAGCTTTTCAGCTGGGAAACAGCTGTGGGACAGAAATAGGTTTCTGATGAGTGACTGTTCAAGAACAGAGTTTGGGGGGGGGGAGAGTTGTTTGGCAATTGAGACTGGAGTAAGATTTGTGAACATGTATTTTAGTTTCACCATTTTAAGATGACACAAGGCTGTAGTCATCCTGTCAGTGAGGGGCAAAGAGGGGTATGACACAGCATGAAATGCATCATGTGGGAATAAATTAACCTGCTGGTGCCTAGCTGACTTAAGACAAAGCTTTGAGATTTAAAGAAAAGGACAGAAATCAAATTGTTGTTATGAATACTGTGTGGTTTGTCTCATTCACACAGATTGCCTGTGTCCATCTTTCATCACTCCTTAGGTAAGTGGATGAAGGTATTACCTGTCGCAGTCCGTGATGGTGTTTATCCGGTGAGCTATTGTTAACACTGTGCTGTCTTTGAACTGAGTCCTCAGGGTGGACTGAATCTGAAGATCAGTTTCTAAATCTACTGCTGCTGTGGCCTCATCCAGAATGAGGATTTTGGCTTTCCGAAGAAGTGCTCTGGCCAGACAAACCAGCTGTTTCTGACCAGTGCTGCAAGTAAGAAGAGGGATGGTAATCTGAGTGTTTTCCCTTGGTCAGAATATGTGATTAATTTGAAAATAGTAATGAAAAGGTGATTGTTCCCTTTCCCTGAAAGGGTGATTGAGGCTGGTGGCACTGCAGGTAACAGCATGAAACAGCCTAAGTAAATGAAGGGAGTGTATTACTATAGCCCCAGGAGATCTGCACTTGGAACAGGATTCAAGTGCTTTAAGTACTTCACAAACACAAGTCACCACAATGATTAAGTATCAGAGGTCTCTCACTTGATGTCTCATGACTTGATTTCTTGTTGCTAAACAGGACAGTAATGCAGCAATTTGCTGTCTGGGTACCATTTTCTTTTTTCATGACTTGGACTCCTTGTCCCACTAGCTCCATGTTCTCCTAGA